CAGTGGCAAACGAAGACGGTGATGATGACGATGAATCTGATCTTCGATTCTTCAGCAGGTGAAACGTGCACTGAAACTTAACTAGAAGAAATGTGTATCACAGACTCTTATGAGGTATCGTATATACGCATTGTGTACCTGGAGTGAAGTGCGCAGGTCAGAGAGACATGTGTTCGCCCGCCATGGAGAATAGAGTTGTGTTCTGCTAAATGCTTTGGTTTATTGCTTTGTGTTACGCTATTTTGGCGACGAGGATGGCCGAGCTCGGGGTAGAAAGGCCTGTTAAATGATAAGTATGGGAGGGTGGAGAGAAATAGAGTATAAAATTGTCCAGCTCAAGACCTATAATTACAATACAACAGCAAAGGCAATGGGACTTGAGTTTTCCTGGTAGTTCGGACGGTCTTGGCGTTCTTCTCGGAGGATTTTCAAAAGGCCAGTAAGGATAAAACTGAAAATAATGACTTGCAGATGAAGCGAACGATGGTCTCATCAAGAAAAAAAATGGCGTAGAAGGAAATAAATCAAGAAAAATGGAACAAAAATGAACTTAAAATAAGAAATAAATATAAAAGGAAGGAAAATAAATATAACCATAGTAAAATAATAAGCTATCATAAATAATAAATTGAAAATGAAGTCAAATAAATAATACGAGAATAGGAAAACCAATAGTAATGATCACGATAATGATAATAATAAGAGAAAAGGAAAATAATTGCATTAAAAGAGACTTCATCGATTTTTGAAAACGAAACTGCAAGGATTTTAAGGCAGTCACGTTTCAAAAATCAGCAGAAGTATCTTTTTAATTTTAAAGTCTTTTTAGATACACTTTTAATGCTTTTCCTTTTCTTTTACCATCATTATAATCATTACTATTACTATTATTAACTACTATTATTATTAATATTATTATTATCATTTTTAAGTTCCTTTTTGTTACATTCTTTAGATTTTTTTACCTTCTTTGTCGTTAGTCTTTCGCGCATAAGTCATTATTTTTAAGTTTTATCCCTATAAATAAGTTTGAAACTGTTGTATCAAATTTTCAACCGAGTCGATTTCCAATCATATAGGGACGGCTTGACCATCTGAATTATCTGGAAACGTCAGTCCTTTTTGTCTTTGCTTGCTTCGGCTTAATTTGTTAATTACATGCTTTAATCCAATGCAGGAACAAGTAAGGGAAAACGTAACTTTGATAATAAGTTCAGTAATAAGCTGAATGAAAGAACAAATGAGGGAAAACTTAACTTTGATAATAAGTTCAGTTTAACGTGTGATCTTGCTTTCTTGAGAGAGATATAGGAACAGTGAGCCTTGACAAGCTGGGCAGCCTGTGAAGAGGCTAGACGCAGACGACTGACACCTGTCGCATGGATGATGATGATGATGATGATGATGATGATGATGATGATGATGTTATGACGATGATGATAATGACGATGATGCTGACCATGATGTTGACGATTATGCTGACAATGATGACGACGACGATGATGTTGACAGTGATGATGATGCTGAGAATAATGCTGACGATGACGTTGACGATGACGACGATGATGATGATGCAATGATGATAACGATAATGATGCAGATGATGTAGATGACGTCGCTGATGATGATAATGATGACAATGATGCGGAAAATGATGATAATGATAACGTTCTTCAGAAAATTTGTTCCCTGATGAAAAAACTCCGAAACTCAGNTGAGGGAAAACTTAACTTTGATAATAAGTTCAGTTTAACGTGTGATCTTGCTTTCTTGAGAGAGATATAGGAACAGTGAGCCTTGACAAGCTGGGCAGCCTGTGAAGAGGCTAGACGCAGACGACTGACACCTGTCGCATGGATGATGATGATGATGATGATGATGATGATGATGATGATGATGTTATGACGATGATGATAATGACGATGATGCTGACCATGATGTTGACGATTATGCTGACAATGATGACGACGACGATGATGTTGACAGTGATGATGATGCTGAGAATAATGCTGACGATGACGTTGACGATGACGACGATGATGATGATGCAATGATGATAACGATAATGATGCAGATGATGTAGATGACGTCGCTGATGATGATAATGATGACAATGATGCGGAAAATGATGATAATGATAACGTTCTTCAGAAAATTTGTTCCCTGATGAAAAAACTCCGAAACTCAGTAAATGGCCATGGCGACGTTAAAATTGGTGAGTATCACAACCATTATCTTTGTTCTTCTTTAGTACCTGACTGCTCCTCAGTGGTCTCTCCTCTCTCAATCAAATACCAACGAGGGAAACGAGTGAAACATCCCTTCCCTGCCTGCTGTAATAGTCTGTCTTTCGCGACCGTTCCATGATGTGCTAGAGAAATTAATAAGAGAGGCGACTGGGACGAGTCACCTTCGAAAAGGTAAACGCAAAGACCTACAACGTACAGCGGGAGGAGTGAGGAAAAGCTTATCTTTGATAATTTGTCCCGCGTTAAACTAAAAATTTTGACTTAACTCAGTCTTAGGCTTTCCTGATTACTTCAGTTATTAAAGCTGTGGACTGCAAGAGAAGGACAAAAAACGCTGTTCTAGACTAAGACACCTCCATCAAATGGAGTTTACCATTGATTGACTTTCCTGTATGATAAAGTTAAGGCTATACGTTCTGAAATGCACGACAAAAATACTCTGCAGAGCAAAATAAACTTTGGAGATCCTACTTTAAAAATCAAGTAATAAAGGTGTCTTCTGTTTTCGTCCCAACAGCTTACAGGAAAAGAGTGCTTTTTGGTGTGTTCATATATCATATCGGAGGATGGATGTTGATGTACCCTACCCTCGCTACTACCCTACGTCACTGCAGGACAAGAAGCCAATAACGAATGTTTATACAAGACCCACGTTTAAACAGACTGCTTTTAGCCACGCTTGCGCTTGCTTTCAAACATCATTGAAAAAATCGGATTCTAATTCTGTAAGGTTTCACTTTGACAATTGTTTCATCTTCTAAGCTTTTATACTATATTTAACTTTGTGAACTGGCTATATTTATGAAGTGAAATTAAGACGCTGTTTGGAGTGAAAGAGCTGATAAAAGACCATAAATAGAGGCCGTTTTTTGTTGTTTTCATTATCAGTTTCGTGATAAATGAATTTGGAATATATAGAAAATATGAGAGCTTTATTTATGTAAAGGAAGAAAGCTATTGTACAAACAATAGAATACCGTCGTTTTTGCGTATAGTTCGTGTAATGTTAAATTATCAATTCGGCTTTTTCTAAGGTAAGAGCGTTACTCGGAACTTCTGAATTCTTCTTAATTAATGCCACAAACGCTGATTTTATAGCTTAACATCTAACATAAACTGCAATAACCTTTAATGCATGAAGATTTTCAGAGGCTCCGAGCAAAATGTTTTGCCTGATCTGAATTTGTCTGCAAAAAAAAAAAACTAAATAGCGTCTATCTACTGTAAGTGATAGACAGCGAATAATAGCTTTCACCCTTTACATTGATCCAGCAAGCGTAATTAAACAACTATATTGCGAGCGAAAGCGCTTTGATATCACTTCTTTAACACTTTAAAACGGTGACAGATTATCAAATCGCGCTCTTCTAGAGTCAGCCTCGCCGACTATTTACTCCCAGAATATTTTTCTTTTCATTTTCTTGTAACTCTCAGCCTAGCTAAAATTTTCATTAACTTACCTTAGCTTTAATTTTTTGTTCTTGCGTTTATATACAGTAGATGGCCTTAAAACCCCAAAGGCGTCACCATAGCACTGGTCGGGGGTACACGGTCCCTATTTTTCCAAATTAAATTGGTTTTCGGGGTTTACGTGTCCGGCTATGGTGTAATTGTATTTTTGGTCGCATTTTAGTTTATGTGTTTCTTAACAATAAAGTATGATGGAGCTTGTTGAAAAACTGAGTGCTTTTTTCTTTAGTTGTTCTTGTTAATGGGACGCCAGAAGCCGATTGGGGGGGCGCAAAATATTTTGTGTCAACCGACTTGAACCTCAATAGAGCGTTTTAACTTACGTGACCAGCAGCTAGAAAAAATTATTACAACAAAAGAAAGCGTAAACAAGAGAAAAGAGGACTGGTTTGGGACGCCAACATGGCCACCATTTTCTGATTGGTTTGGGACTGACCAATATTTCGAAATTGACTTCAAGCGCTGAAGGGTCCTGAAGGCTGTATAGGCAGCCACTAGCTAGTAGACGTACGAAACAGTACCGTAACGTCACAACATGGTGGCTTAGAAAAATTCTGGACTGTGACCTTTACTTCTCGCTCGATCGGCTTAATAGCAGATGTTTACATACAAGCTACAAGTCGTCTTTCGCTTGTTAACACCTACAACCATTATAGAAATTACTGTGAAGAAGCAAGATGCCCAAAAGCGCCAAAATTTCCTAGTTTTTTGGTATCGCGTATCGTTTGTCTGGCTTATACAACGCTCCACTTTTTGGTTGAATTCATACTGAGAGAAACACACAAAGACACTTGACATGCGATCAACGTACTGACCATGTCTTGCGTTGAAAACCCGCCCCTCCGCAAAGGACCGGGTGTTCTTGGTACTGCTAGGAGAGGACTGGGGAGAGGGCACACGAAACTGCGCAGTTACCGATGGCAAGATTTCGCACCCTCACTGCAGTGTTTGTAGAGCTCATACTGATTTTTATAAAGCTCCTTACTTTTAATGTGGCTGATTTTTTGTGGTATTTCTTTCCAAGAAGGTGCTTCATAGCAGGAAACAATTAAAAGCGATAAAGTACAACGTTGCATAAAATCTTAAGTTAAGACATTTTTAATGTGGACTGAAATACCCTAAATGAACACAACATAAGTGATAGCCCAATAAGTCACGGGCGTGGTTGCTATGAAATTGCTATTCTAAACGGAAAAGGTTCTCTTAACTAGTTTACAAGCGTGGCCAAGTTTCACACGGTTTCTTCAAGGAAAAAAGAGGGTGGCTCAATCCTTATCTTCACTAAGTTTTTGGGTTTTTGTAGATACTATGCTGATAATTATTAAGGTGAACATCACCCTTGTACAAGTATACGTCGCGGTTAGAGTCGTAAACTTTCTCTATGTTATTCATTTGCATTTTGACCTCGATTACCCAATCGATTTTGGCCCATAATCTTTGGCTGTTTATGACAAAGCCTCTGTCATCGTAGTTATTGAGTAGTATTGTCTTTGGGTCATTGCTTGGGTCAATGGAAGTAAAATAGACTCCTGAAAAGAAAAAAAAAGATTTTTCAAGCTGTGAAACAGACAACAGACATTTTGAAAGCACAGTTTATACTGGTTGGAAATTCAGAATATCTCTAGTAGTAAATACTAGTTCTAGAGATTAAACTCATATTACCGAACGGTATAAAAGTCAACAAACTAGCGATTTACCACAGCCATGTCGTCGATTCTGTATGGGTGTTTTGTCGGTAGATCCCTTTATCACTTTGCTCTTTTTGATACCAGCAGCGCCAGCTTCATCGGTGTAATGATAAAGCGTCTGACAGGCAAAAAAATGGAAATTTCAAACTGCAAGTTTTTACTACGAGAGCTCAAATAAAATTAGACTGCAAAACAGTCCGTATTTTTGCGTATTTAAGTACGCGCGAGCAGTCAAACAAGGCTGAAAACAGAGAGTGAGACTGGGGAGAGACGCTAAAAATTCTCTCGCCTCACACGCCCCTACGGGCGTGTGAGGCTCGCGCGCTCGCGCGCGTAAGACTCTTACGCCACGCTTTATCGATTTCTTTACTGATTTTGAGAAAAAAACCGACTTTTTTGCAGTCTAAAATAAAATATCATCATCTATATTATGAAAAGTGATTGGTTCTAAGTTTTGTCTGGGGCTCAAACCTACAAATTTCCATAAATTTTATGAAATAACAGTCCGTCCGTTTAGCTTCTCTTTAGTATGGATAAGTTAAACAGTTTTTCTAGGGACCGGGTGTATTGTATTTGCTGAGTATACCTTCCACTGTATCTGGATATGCCCTATTTCTTATCAGGTCTTGAAAAAGTGGATGAACGCTTAAAATATTTTATCATTCATGACCATTATTCTCGTCTCCATTTTGAGGAATGGCTTTTCATAAAATTGCTTAAAATAATACATAAATCGTGATTCATTTCTCCCGTCTACAGGTTTTAAACAAGGCTAGTAAAATAGGTCTTGTTAAATACGGGAACATTGTAAAATTTTCGCTTAACCGTAATAACCCTGGCCTATGCTGCCAACAATCGCAACAATAGTCTCACTGCGTATGAAAGTCAGTGTTGAAATCGAAACTAGTTTACGTGTCATTTTACAAACTTCATCTATTGTTTTTAAAAGCCTTACCTCGTATGACATGTTGCTTGGTTGAAAATGAAGCTCTTTTATAGCTTTCCTGCCGTTTGATCTTGTAAGGCTTCAACTGCAACCGGAGATCGAGAAGAAACATAAAAGCGGAAGTAACAGACTGTGTGGGAGCAAATTAAAATCACGTGTCAGCTACTTATCCAATCACTGAACACTTGCCACAAGTTCAGTCACTCGTTTCCAAATGCCATGTTTCCCGGAAAAAGACCTATATATAACCATTACTTACATTTTTAAATTTATTATTTTTCCAGCGCTTTTCTTCATATTCTCTCAGAGTTTTGTCGTCAAATATAACAACATGATTGTCATACTGTATTCTATAAATCAATTATAAGAAACTTATGGTTTATCAATTGCAAAGCTGCTAGTGGATATATTTTTATTTACCTTAAGTTAATTTTTTCCTCGTATTTATAGACAGTAGACAACAAAGGCAGTACCATAGCACAGGTTGGGGGAACACGGCCCCATTTTTTTTCCAAAATTGGTTTTTCGGGGTTTACGCGTGTGGCTGTGGTGTACTTAATTTATTGTACTTTTGGATACATCTTATCAATAAAGTGTACCATTCAGTGAAAAAGTGCGTGTTTCAGTGTTCATGTACCGTAAACTTCCTCTTTTAAGCCTCCCCTCCCCTCCCCCCCTTTAAAAGTCCCCCCAGTTATGGGCCCGTTTTCCTGTAAACAAAAAAATACATGAAGTTATAAGCCCTCGTCTCAGAGCTTGTTAAAACAGGGAGTTTAAGCAACGACGTTTTTGAGCGACCTAGGCCAACCGAAAGTGGACCGTTTTTGAACTCTTCAGTTGTGATTTTGAACAAATTCTAAGGCAAATTGTCTCTATAAGAGTTTACAAATTTGCATACAAATTTGGCAGCGCCAAGGCATATTTAAAGGACAAAAATGTTCACTTCTGCTTTACGTGCTTCGCCCATAAATGTCGCTGCTTAAACTTCCTATTATTAGGGAGCCTTTCTTTTAAGCAGCAACGACGGTGACGGCTACAAAACGTGACTTAAAAGTGAAGTCGCGCTGCTTCAAACTTTATAGCGCTTTACGTTCCATCTTGTTGAATTCGTCAAATGTTGGCAATATTTTGTGGAGTTGAATTCTAAGACTGTATCGAAGTTCAAGAAAAGAAAAAGAAATGGCGTTATGTTGTGTCCACGACCTCCACAAAACAAGAAATTTGGCATTTTTACGTCGTAGTGGTGCAATGATGGGAAAGAAATGTAAAAAAAGGCGTTGTTGTTTTGCTAATCTAAACTTATTGGTTTTTTGCTGTCCTCGTTGACGTCGCAGTCGTCGTTGCTTAAGCTCCCTATTATGCACCTATTAGTGGTTTGCCCCAGGATGGGGGTGGGGGGGGGAGGGGCAACCCACGGGCAATTTGACATTTTCAGGTCTTAAAATGTCAAATTCCCATCCTTGGGTCTCTATTATGAACTAATAGGCATTCAAAACACTTTATTGCAATACTCAGCGTCTCCAGAGAGTATGACAAATGGTACCCACGAACTTCTCAAGTTAATTAAGGCATGGGTCTACTATACTTAAATATAAAATATGAGCAAGTCAACAGCGACAAACCGTTGAGTGGTGCCGGAACTCCCAGTTGTAGACCTGGATCAGTACAATAATCGGGGGCACCCAACGAGGATATAGTTCAAAACCAATTAACATAGCATTGTTGAACGTATTTTAGTATTTAAACGGTAGATATAGGCATATTTTTATCCCCTAAAAACTTTTCATCTGTTCGGATTTCCTAGCTGATCCTTTTCGAAAATTTCAGCCAGGAAAAGGCTCCCGAAAATTCTAGGTGGCCTTTTTTAGGGTAAATATCCGTTTAAAATGGGTAATTATACCATTTTGTAAATGTTCGAAAATCCTAGGAGAGGCAGGCAAGCGAGAAATTTTACAACAAATGTTCCGAAAATTCTAGCTCTCAAATCGTCTTCCGAACAGATATTTTCCCGAAAATTGCCTTTGGGTGCCCCTGAATAATAACTTGTCGAAAATATAAAACGGCAAACTGATCCTTACAGCGAGGTGATGAAGAAGTAAACAAAAGAATAAAACAAAAAATATATATTTAAACAAATTTGCCCAATATTTCGGTTTGAAAACAAACCTTCTTCAGGGGCTAAAGCAATGAAGATGAAACTAAAAGTTCGTTACAAATAAGAGTTTGAAAATATGAAAATCAAAACAATAGATTGTTATTGGTGTAGGAGGCAAGGTTACAGTAGTATCGTATATCAACAAGCTTTGTCACGTCTATTTATTCCTAAAGGAGACAATGTGTTTCCTTTGTGTATTAAACGAGCCTCTCTAGCCTTTCTCGCTGCGTCACCGGTTGCTTCGTATGAGTTCAAGTGGGATTTGGAAGAAGGTTGGGTCCCCCGGGGGGGGGATACTCCTTTATATAAACCATATAGATATGTGCCGCCCTAAAGGGTAGAGTTTTTACGCCGTTTTGGTCTGAAAACGGGTACAGAATTTGCCCATTTTAGTCTGGAATCGGGTATGGTTTTCGAGGAAACTACTGAAGTGTATGAACGTATTTATCGTTTCAATTCCAAATGAATAAAAAAGAAAGAGAAAAATGCGAATTTGAATTAGATTTTAAGAAATCTTTTTTGTTGGCGTTCTAATCTAAGAAGACTTGTCACAAGTCAATCTCACGAGCTTGTAAGCAAGGTCTGAAAACGGGTATGGATTTTAGAGGCCAGGTCTGAGAACGGGTGTGAAAAATGACATTTTTTGGTCTGAAGTAGGATCAGGATTTGAAGGTCAGTGCGGCACACCCCCACCAAGATTTCCCAAGAGTACCCCCTACGGGGTGAGGCTACAGGAAAAGGGCGAGGTGTCTCCCTTGTGAGCAAGGATATCTCTGAAATCTTTCGTGAATTTGTTGATCGATGTCGGCTTTTGCTTTAGGTTTGGTGATATGAGGGGGCCCTTCAGCTGGGTCGGTCCTCTGACTGGAATCATTTGTTCACTGAGCGGTATCATGGTAGTGGCGTTTTACCAGTACCTGTTCTTGAAAAGAATTTCGGGTCAATTTAGGTTTCTAGGAAACTGCCCACCTACCCCTCCCCTAACCCAACATTTTGCCCCAAGTGACACGCAAATGTTAACGTTGAGTTAGGGGAGGGGTAGGTAGGCAGTTTCCTAAAAACCTAAATTGATCCAGAATTTCAACCCAAAGAAAGGGGAAGGCAGACCGTATCCAGAAGATAAAAACAGAAATGGCCACTCAAAGCATTCGAGTCGTGTTTCTACTTCGAAATAACTTGGCAAAGAAAGAACTACAATCGGGAAAAGGTAAAACATGTTTTAAAAAACTCTTGAACTATGTGAAACAACAAATGCATATAAAAAATGCTCAAATTAGAGACGAGAGAAGTGGCTTTCTTTCGAGGTACTTTTATCTGATATGTCAATTAAGGCTCCTCCCTTTTAGTTTATTGTAAGGTGAATCTAATTAAGAGCAAGTAAATTGAATCGAACCCTGTATTCATAAGATCGCAACTTTCTGAGCAATCCCTTGCGTTTTCCTTCTACTGTGTCTTCCCAAGCCTTTTCGGTCAATGCATTTTGGTGAAAAGATTTGCACAAAAATCTCGCTCGTACCACGTGACCTGAAAGGCATAGTTTCCGCGCAAAATGAGGACTAGAAACTAGGCAAAGCAATCTCGCGCCCAGAGTCCCCTTTACCCGTTCCCCTGGACGAGAGTAAAAAAAAAAAGGCGCCGACTCTTGGAGCAAGATAGAGAAACTAACGCTTGCGCTGAGAACTAAGAGGCGGCCATCATATTATGTATGCATTAAACTATCGGCTGTTCGGTATGCCACTTTAACAAAATTTTAGCCGCAGTTAGTGACTCGATAAGCGGTTAAAAATTTCATCGTTCCTGTTTTAAAAAAGGATAACAAAGAACAAGCGGAAATTTACAGACCGATCTAACTACTTTCTATTGTTTCCTAAATCATGGAGAGGTGCATATTCAATGCTATTAGGGACCATGTTTTCAATCTTATCAGCGCATGTTAGCGTGGCTTCATTGCTGAACGGTCATGTGCAACCCAGCCAAAATCGTTCCCAGGGTTCTCTCCTGGGTAGGAGAGAAGCCTGGGAACGAGGTTGCAACCCAGCTTGTTGAAGTTCTTGACCAAATTGGCACAAAGGTGGATAGAGGAGGACAAGTAGATATAATCTATCTGGACAGGTCAAAAGCTTAAAATTTTGACAAAGTAAATCACGCAAAGCTCCTAAGGAAGCTACATCAGTAGACTATCAGTATGGTTTTGGGGGAAACCCCTGCGAACATGGTTAGAATCGTACCTGCACAATCGATCCCAGCGAGTGACTACATTGGGAACAACATCAAGCCCCTTACCTGTGACTTCATGGGTCCCACACGGATCGATCCTGGGCCCCATGTTATTCCGTCTGTATGTGAACTCTCTGCCAGATGTTGTTAGATCAAGCCAGATTGCTGTTTTCGCCGATGACGCAAAGATTTTTAAAGAAATTATATCAACGCGCGATGCAGAACAACTTCAAGAGGACTTGTTTGACTTACTCACGTGGTCAGATTCTGCTAGCCTAAACTTTAACTTCAGCAAATGCAAAGCGCAGCGTATCACTAGGAAACTTAAAACCGTCATCTTTGTCTATCATATGGACGGCTCTCAGCTTGAAGTTCTCTCTGCCGAGAAGGATCTTGTTGTTTACATCACGGATAACCTCACGTGGAACAAGCAATTCAATGAACAATGCGCTATGGCCAGCACGCTCCTGGGATATATACGGAGAGACACCAGACTCGTCAAAAGCAGTACTGTTAGACGATCGGCATAGCTCATCCTAGTAAGATCAAATCTTGGCTATGTCACGCAAGTCTGGACTCCACAGTCAATAGATCTGATTCAAAAGCCCGAGCGTGTCCAGAGGCGCGCTACAAAGTATATCCTGGATCTACGTACCATTCATTTGCGACCAGACAAAAAGGAACAGGCGGCTTATCACCCATCTCCTATTAGCACGGGTTTTTAGACATGAATTTCTTTTTCAAAGCTGAAACCGGCACAGTTAGAGTTAGTCCTTCTGTTCTTCCGCAAGTCTTAGTTACTCGCACTACCAGATCAGCAGCAACCGTAATTTTTCTCACTTAATTTCAAGAAAATGTAATATTGTCACCTTTCCGAGATCTTTTTTAATAGAACCACCAGAATCTGGAACACCTTAGCGAATGAACTTCAACTGTCATGCAACCTTCGGATCAGTCAATTCAAATCCATCATGTATCAGTACCATGTAGATGCCTTAGAACATAACTACGATCCAGAGAACCCAAGATCCTGGAAAAACGTCTGTCCGCCATGTAACGTTCTACGTAACGTGTCTGTCCGTGTTCGTTGTTGTTTTTAATAGTCATATGCAGCTTCAGTGTTTTTTACATACTTTTTTAAGCTCTGGGACCACTGTAATTCGCTTACCGCTGTTGTGGCATCTTTACCTAATTAAGCATTTATTATTCTTTGTTTCAGTATATACAGTGTTTATCATTCTTTTTAATTCATTATTTTTTTATTGTGTAGTAGGCGAAGCTAATAAAATAAATTAAGATAAATAAATGAATTATAAACGCGGAGGGAACTGGTATCTTTCGCAAAGACCTTCAACTAGAGATAGGGAGAAAATGAAATTCCCGGATAGCTAACGGTGCGCAGGCGCGTCCCCTTTAGCAATCCCAGGAACATTTGCGGTACACATTCTGACTCCAGTTCCCTTCGCGTTTCTCTTTGTAGAAAGTGGCGAATTGCGCGCCACTTTCTACAGCTTATATCGCACCCCAAGGACGGGATAATAGGTGACAGTAAGCATAACGTATAACAATATCAACTTTTAGATTGTAAAGCGAAAGTGAGCACTATGTCACGGAAAATAAGTTAAGATATACAAATTCAGATTTTTGAAAATTTTGCACTTCTATAAGAGTGCATGCCTAATACCCTTCTCGCGCGCATATTCCCAGGTCCTCAAGGTTGTACATTTCGGTGATGTATAGAAATTTCACTGAGACCACATAACTCCAGACTAATTTACCGCGTAAAGTAGGGAGGCCTGGGAACGCCTCGAATGAAACTAGTGCCTAGGCTGGCTCAGAGATTTTTGTGCAATATTGGATCTGATTTTATCACTAATCTTTACAGCTCTTTGGCTTGATCACCTTCCACCAATCAGTAGGGTATAAATGCTTCATTATCTCCATACCCCCTCTTGGAACAGAAATGTTAAAGGAGCCAAATTTGACCTTGGGTAGGGGGTGCTGTAAAAGTTTGGCGGGAAAACTATGGCGGAATCTGTAGTGAATGTAAAATAGCCACGACTCATAACCAGATCGCATCATAGTGCCTCGATAATTATAATAAAGAAATAATCCTATACTTTCGCCGTATCCTTTGACTGATAAATATCCACTCTCTTGAAGTTTGTCTATCAGTACCAAACCGGCAGCCTCAAATTTCGCTTTGAATTCTTTCAGGGGTATCTTTTTAAAATCGCCATTCCCGTCCATGCCAATATCAACGTCATCATCCCATGGGAGGGGGCCTGGTATGCCCCTCAGGGGACCCCACAGGGATCCGTACATCAACCAATGGTCAACTCCCATACTGTCTAAAACCAAATGTGTCTTGTGGGCGAGTTCTATTAAGCGAACGGTATGTTGTTTGGACTTAAAGCAAGGAGTAACGGACGCCCAGAACCTGTTTCCTGTATATCTGCCCATATCCACCAAACTAAAACCAATGTAGATCAAAACAGCAACCAGCAGGGTTACCATGGCGACAGTCTTCTTGCTTACCCAGCATGACTTGCAACACTGGAGTGAAGCCACTTTTGATAACATCTAAAATGTTATTGTTGAGCAAAAAAAGAAAAATTATGAATCGATTATTTGAAAAATGAATCTTCCATTCGTTGCCGCAACTAGTATCAAATTCAAATCAAATTCAAATCTATATGTGCAATGAGCAGTGAATTTTTCCCGATAACCTCTCTGTATTCGGACAGATTGAAAATTCTTTGAATGGATAAATTGCTTTGAAGACATTTACATCAAATTCAAGAACTTTGAGCAAGTAGAAATTGCATAATTACCTCGGGTGTGAAGCTTTGTTGTGGGCGGTGACTAGTTTCTGGCCTCAAAAAATAGGTTGTAGTGGTCAAAACTATTCGGCGACAGCAAAATTGATCCTGATTTTTGACCAGGCCAAAAACTTAGTAAAAATTGTTTGAAAGACGGGGGCTCCATGGCTCCTTTTCAACCGCTGGTTCACATCCGGGATCTTAAATAAATTGACTGTTTGAGTCTAGAAAAGTTTCCATGCGACGCGTTATGTGGAGAAAAATTCTAATTTTCCGATTTTCATAAACAGTTGTTCTTATAGTCTTTAAAGGCTTCTTTTTTTATCTAGAACGTCAGTAAACACTTTTTCTCGATCTATTTTTGATAAACACAAAAGATGAAAAAAACTTCAACTTTTTTACCAAAATCATGGACTATCTATCCCCTTTGGAAAAATGCAAATTTGGCATTCATTTTAAATGCATGTTTATATTGTCTAGAAAGGCTTGTTTGTAGTTACGTGTTCAAAGAAATAATACACTAAATCTGGAGTGCGAAGAAGTCCGTGACCAGTTATTAGAAAACCTTGATTTTCCCGTACATTTTCTGTAATTCGACAGTATCAAAATATTACAGAAAATGTATAGGAAAATTGAGGTTTTCCGGAAAACTGATCACGGACTTCTTTGCACTCCAGATTTAGTTTAATATTTTTTTGAAATCGTTAGTTACTCTTTTCAAGGAGAAAGCATCAAATATATGAATTCAGGAAGAATTAGCTGGCTTTGAATTCCAATACAAATCTTTGAATTTCCTGCCATCTTTCCCTGATTACGCATGACGTAGCTATGAGCGTGAACTCCTCTATTAATTATTTCCCAGGATGTAACGATAGTTGTTGACAGCTAACTTGAAAGAGACGACTGTCAAGTCCATTTCTGTTGAAATTTCACTTCAAACTTTTAAGACCCATACGTGTTTCAGCTGATTTTTATGGCGAATACTAAAGCGACGAAGAGGCAAAGTACAACTTATATTTGATATACATTTAATGACACTTCAGGGGCACCCAACGGGAAATGTTGAGAAAAAGACCTTAAAACAACAACAAAGCGTGAATAAAGTTTTCTGAGACTATTTTAAGCATTTTGGGAGATTGCTGGAAAAAAATTATCTGTTCCTCACTCCCAGCAAGACTGATGGAAGAGTTCCCAGCCAGCAACCTTACAACCTGCAACCTGACTTACTGGGAAGTTTCATAGGGCCGATTCACATCTTGAGTGGTAAGTAAGCCATACAAGTAACCCGTAGCAGCTATTCAAGACTTCAAATCCCCTTTGACACCCTGAATTATCTTTTTCCCAGCAACTCTTTCCTTCCAAGGACTATTATTTCTTCCACATCTCCCAGCCAGCAAAAATGCGCCGGAAGAACAGATATTTTGAGGAACAGATCCATTGGGTGCCCCTGACACTTGCCATTTCCGGTGTTTCTTAACGACGCATAAATTAAATTTTGAATTAACGTCACAGACACGATAGGCCACTTACTCGTCTAGTCTCCCATTGCCACGTAATTTTTAACTTGGGTACGTTTGTACAATTTACGTTCGCAAATAAAATAGAGGCAATGTATGAAAGGTCGCACGTGAGCGTAAAAGTGGAACCTCGCTCAACTTCACGTTTAATCTCAACACTTTACATCTTGTCTCTATTTTATTTACGTGATTAAAATTTACTTGCGTTTACATGCGCAGCCAAAAACGCGTCGTGGAAATCAAGAGTTTTCAAATGACGTATGCAAATTTACTTAAAGTATTTTTAACGGTACCATTTCGAAGTCAGCGTTTCACGTTTTGCCTTGAACGGTACACTTAGTATAGAAATTTATTATATTTGCTCCCCGACTTTATGCGGGTTATATATTTTGTGTTTATTACAGGACGGCCCGCAAACATTGCCATTTTGACCACCATTCCCGACTAATAAACTCCATTGCGTCTGATCACGCTATCCGACGCAAGTTATGCACCAGCAAACACATATTTTAAAATTCACAAGATAGCCTTCATACAAAGATACACGGATACAATTGTCGTCCAAAAGTTCAGATGAGCAACCTATCATTGGTCCTCTTTTTTTTCCAGCTAAAAGTGAAGCTTTCACTTGCAAAGCAAAGGGTAAGATAAGAGGAGCACATGCACTAACGGAAGCACTGACGGGCAAGTAAATTTTTGTAGATGTGAAGAAGTGAATTGTTTTCCCGAAATCCTTTCGACTGATGAATATTCCAAAACCTTTTTTTTCCCGTAACTCAAGAGTCTAGACGTCTAACAGCTAGGCGAGAATTAAGTTTCGAGTACTTTTAAGCAGTACTGTAGCCTTAGATATTAAACACGCCTTGCGCGTGGGGTTCACAGTTCATCAACTATTAACGTTAACTTTACCTTTTTTGCAGACATGGTTACCGGCTGAAAGTGCTCACTTAAATTTCCTTCAGCTTTGTCTTCTTGTACTGCTTCGACTGCAACACTACGAAGAAACCAACAAAATGTCGGCGAAAAGGAAAATATATATTGGGTGACCTGAAGGCGGAAATACACTGTCGGAGGTAAAGCTTTTGTAACACGTGCCAGATGTTCATCCAATCAACACTTGCTACATCTCTTTAGAAGTTTCCAATTTTTTTCCCGCCAATGTACGCTTTAGGTCTATTAAAGCTGCCAGTGGATGCACAAGCCAAGGAAATAATGTTGTTTTGTATTGTACATTGTGCTGAAAAGGGTGGATAAAAGTTAGGCCACGAAACGGGAAATCGATCCCAGTTTCCGATCCGAAAACTGCAACCAGATCCCGATCCGAACGGGCAGTCGATCCCAGTTTTAATAGTAGTTTTTGAGGGTCAAAGATACCTTGTCTTGGGATAGTTAAGGACAGTTAAGGTATAGAGATAGGACCGAGATTATCTTATTTGATTACTTAAACCTTAGTCATTAGTCATTTCTATTCATACGCTAATAAATACCCCGGGGCAACGTGCTTTCTTGCATACTAGCAAGAGTCTAGTCAGTTCTTTCCCATTATGAATAACTGTCTTCCGCTTTCCAATCTTTCAAGAAACAATACTTGTCAGGGGCGTAGCTAGCCTCCCCGCAGACGTCCTTTGAGGTTCGTTTGTCATGCATTCATTTCTAGAAATGAATGCGTGACAAACGAACCACAAAGGGCGTCTGCGGGGAGGCTAGGGCGTAGCCAGCTTTTCGACTCCTCGGTTGTAGGCCTGGCTGACTTTCCACAGTATCCTGAAAAATGTACGCATGACAAGTATGCACTGACCCCACCAACACTTTGAGCTCTTAGCTTTTTAGCTCACCCCAAAAACGCATTAATTTATTACAAGCGGTAGAGTGATCAAACCAAACATTTGTGCTGCCTACACCCCTTCTTTTCTAGACTTACATGCCGTATCAGTTGCTATAAAGGCATGAGAGTAGCGTAATGCCAAAACCGCTTTATAAGCTAACTACCTACTTTATTTAGAGTTGAGACGACTGTATTTTTATACCTTCATAATTGCTGAATTGTTGGCAGAACCAAATTGGCATTGATGATATGAAGACGTCATTTATTATAATTAAAACCATCCGCCATATTGGATCTGCCATTTAGAGTTAATTAAATGTATTTTAAATGTATTTGTATTTTCATTTCTTGGTCAAGATTAGCCACGGCAAAGACACATACCTGTGGGATCGATCGGGGGGGGAGTGGGCTCCTCTGTCAAGAGTGAATGCACACCCTGATGATGATGATAATGATGATGATGATGATGTCGATGACGATGACGATGATTGAAAACGTTACAGTCTAGAAGACTTTAGCAGGGATTGATCAAACAACGTGAAATAGAGTTTAGTTGCGATATTTCGACTGGTCAATAGATATCTCAGTAAACCTGATGAAGACTGGTATTGGCCAGTCGAAATTTCGCAACTAAACTCTATTTCACGTTGTTTGATCAGTCCCTGCTAAAGTCTTCTTGGCTGTAACGTTTTCAATTTGATCTATTTTGACTGATCACGATCTTTTTGGATCCGACGTTGAGCAAGATTGATCGTACACGTTTTTTTGCAGTGTTTTTTTTTACCTTAATTAAACATGACGATGATGATAATGATGATGATGATAATGATGACGATTTTACTTAAACCCGTATAAATCGAGGTAATTGTAAAAGAAAGTTTGATCGAAGGATGCTTAGGAAGCAAAAAAATCTGCAAGTTATGAAATTCTGAGAGAAGTGAACACTGTTATTTGGTCATTATAAATTCATGCATTTTTTCAAGATCTTTCGAGTGAGTCGCTAAAAAGCCTTGGTTACATTAAAAGTTAAAATAAATTTGATAAAATAATGCTGAATTAAGTGTGATATCATAATCCAGTAAGTAAAAGAAGAAATAAACCCAGTCTTCTAGTCTTCTTGTGATAAGTAAACATTTTGACAAACATGGCTGTCAAAACTCGGTTGCCATGGTAACGTCAATGATGGTGTACACGTCACGACGACTCGAAAATGTCCACAGATGAATCTAAAGAAAAGTCGCTTAGTTTGGAGATCATAGCTTAAACGCTTTGAAGTTATTCAGGGAGGAGAAGGGAGGAGGTCTAAAGCTCCTCCCTGTTGGAATAGGGTTAGGGAGCATGGGCATGACAGGGATATACCGTATGGCTTTCACTCTTCCATGAACTCAAACCCCCTCTATTTCCTAGTTTTAGGATAATGGATATTTGCCGCTGGATGGGGTCGCATTTTCACGACTGGATTGATTATTATGGGCTTGAAATTTTAAAAGAGTTACTAGCCTGGGGTCGCACATTTTTTCGATTCTGGGGGGTTAGAAAATTCAGTTATGTAGGGATTTAAAAATAAAGATATTTACACCACATTAAGTCTAACAGATGTGTCATGTCAGTTCATTTCTGGATGACCAAGTTAAAAGGCTTTATAAGGTAGATGCATAAACAGAAAGTGCAGTTAAGGTGGGATGGCGAAAACTACTTTTTTCCCAAAGTAACTAAGATGGGGTCTATAATATGGCCACAGAATAGATTACAATGGGGTAGTGGTTCTGAGAGGATAGCAGCATATACCCAGTAAAAAATTACCCAAGTAACCCCTTCCCTCCCCCCCCCCCCCCCCCCCCCCCCACCCCACTCTCCCTCGCCCCCCTTTTTTTTTTACCCCCCAACGAGGGCAGCCCATCCCGACGGATCTTGTTTGGCGCGGTCGAGAGTCTTACACCTGTTAGGTTAAGGACTTAAAAGGGAAAGAAAAAAAAGAAAAGGAATATAAAGGGGGGATGGAAAAACTACATTTTTCCCCAAATAAAAAAAAGGGGGGGTATAAAATTGCCCCAAAAAAAAATTAAAAGGGGGAATGGTTTTTGAAGAGAGGCCCACAATTCCCCCGAAAAAAATACCCCACATACCCCCTCCCCCCCCCCCCCCCCCCCACGGGCTCAAACCTTTGTCTGTGGCCCTGTTTTTTAATATAGCCCAAAGTGGAGAGTCACATATCGGATAGCTTTTGGTGTCGGCACGGAAAGTTCTTCAGTTTAGTGAGAACATTGCTATAGACTGGGTCGATGTTGTATCCAATTCCACTGTGGGCTGTTTTTTAAGGACGCTGTTGCTTCGTAGAACAGAGCGTTTTCACTACACGTTGCCAGCATCTTTGTAAATTTATTGGAACAAGAGAAAGGGTTTACATATTAAAGCGCGCTGGCCCGCTTGACGAGATTTGGGCCGGTCAAAGATCTCGGGAATAAGTGGGACAGCCCTCTTTCTTACATAAACACAACGAAAGTTTTAAGAGGGTACAAGGCATGAGCCGAGCCAGCTAACGTAACGTAGCCGGGCTCGCTCACTTTCATATTAACAGGCTCTTATCCTTTAGACTGTTCACAGTCCCCTATTTTCCCGTAAGATTGCCGAGATCGAGCGCTATGCGTTACGGGCTGCCATCTTGCATGAGTGTCAAAACTACTTAGGGGTCAGGGGGCAGTTTGGGAGAAAGCTATTTTCTCGCCCCCCTCCCCCTTGAGCTATAATCCCCGACGCCTGCCTCTTAGGTACATATCGTTACTGTTGCGTTTCTTCCCATGTTCCTAAAGTGATGAAAATTCCTCATTTTGGTCCATGTTTACCGTCAAAACAAGGTCGATTACCCTTTTCCCTTACTTCCAATAACGTCTAGTGTTGCACAGACGAAAAAGGCAGTTTTTTTGCATGATAACCTAGGGCAAAGTATAAAAAATGGAGAAAAAAATCGTCTGCGGTGTGCGAATCTTGTTTACATTTTTTGCCTCATTAGCTTTTGCCCTTTATATACTCTTTTATCCTCTCTGAATATCAACAGAGCATAACAATTTCAGTTATATGATTGTGAAAATTTAACGGAGGCCAATCTACCCTGTCGACCTTACTTAATTATATAGATCACTCCATCATCGACACAAAAACACAGTTTCTTCAGAAGCTACTCCTGACCTGTAAATACCTATAATCCTAATAAACTGATAGTTGTGGAGAACCAAGATGGCCCCAAACCCTAAAATTTCTCTGGTTCCTCGGTATCACATATCGTTTAGGGATCCTCCCACCTAATCGATTAAACTCATCCCGAGACAATCCTTCCACTGCATGACGAGGTGTATTTAGAGTGCATTTTGTTTTAGTTTAGCGTCAGAAACTTGTAAGATTACACATTTCGTCTCAAGGTGGCTCCCTCATTTTAAATACAGACGCATTGAGCTACGACGAACTTTTCGTTATAACTTTTTTGTTTTTCACGCGATGGCTGCCAAACTTTACAAAGAACGACACAAATCATTCGGCAATCAATGCTGATAAATGGACCTTACTGTTCAAAGAAAATCGTGTCTAGTAAAAAAATTTGCTGATATTTTTGACTGAAAATGAAATTTCTGGTATCAGCTTTTATGATGTTTTATTGAGATATAATAAATATGCCAGATAAATTTCAGACAAATCGTTGGAGCAGAAGTAGAAACAATTTTGCGTCAATAGTATTACATTTTGGGGCGTAACAACGGGCGCTTTCTCCAGTATTTATAGTAATCATCATCATCATCATCATAATTGTTATTATTCATTCAAAACATTTCCCCGATTCTGATTGGCTAAAAGCACACGCATAACTTACCATAACCAGTTACTGATGACCAAAATCTGAAATAATTTTGTGTTTAACGAGGAAATGGCGTCAAGAATGCAGCGTTCTTGCAGGTAAATGCAGCGTTAACCGAGAAGACCTGGGGACGACATTGAGTTGTTTTGGTTGTGAAAACAAATAATTGCGGACATTTCACTCGTTTCAAGAGTAAGAGCTCGGCGAAATTATAGCTAAAAACATGGCAAGAACAAAACTCGAAGGGCAACATCTGCTATTTGGGGAATATTTGCGGAGCTGAAAAACCTTAAACGTGCACTATCGAAGGTGAACTTAACATCGATGGAGGTAAGTATGTTTTAGCTTTGTTTTTAAACTAGGAATTATTTTGAATGAATAAGAAAACAATTATTGAATTCGGCTTTCGTATCATATGAAGAATTTTGGAGATCTCGGAGGGTGTTACCCTCCTCGATCTCCATAATTCTTTATATGATACTCAGCCTCATTCATTAATTGTTAATTATTAACTTACATAGAGCTAATATCTATATGCATATTCATTAACGCATTCTCTGTTATAGAGCTTATTTTGATTGTTGTAAATTAAAGTTCTCCACTTTTGAATGCAGCTCATATTTTATTGTACTGTTATTTTCGAGATGTTTCAAATAAACATAACCAAAGCAACAACAAAAAACTTCAACAAAGCGACGTTCCGTCCCTAAAGAACAAAACGAAAGTGATTACTTAAAGGGGCTATGTACTCGCACTATTTGCTAATTATTATACTAGTTAAAAAGCTTAAAACCTTTTTTTGCACGAACTTACTCCAAAAAAAATTCTCCGGTTTTGTTATTCAAGACTATATTCAACCATTGGAACTGTTTCCTGTCTTTTTTTGATACGGACGGCAAGGATGGACATAGATTAAAGCTTGAAGTTGGGCCAAGATTTAAAACTATGCTTGCAAAAGTATTAAGATGATTAAAATATAAACTTTTATGGTCTGTGCTCCCTGGTGAAATTTGCTCGATATCTTTATAACTCTTAAGGAAAATTTTGTGAATGGGTTAAAATAGCACAGAATTGACCTAAAAACAGCACTATCCTTGTGACATTGCCCCTTTAAATGTACAGTCACATGCTTGGTTGCTAAGGAAAGACTATTGTGAAAAGAGCTCTCTCAACAAGTTGAGAAACCCTGGCTAAGTGTAGGCAAACCTATTTTTAGTGTTTGGGTTTTTTTGGATTTTATGCTCATGTTTATTAAGGTCAAGATCACCCTTGTACAAGTACACGTCGCGGTCGTTGGATATATACTTTCTCCACTTCATTCCTGTCCAATTTGACCGCAACTACATTTTCTACTTTGGCCGCCATTTTTGGGTTGTTTACAACTCTTGGTCCGTCGTCGTAGTTGTTGCGGATTATATCCTTTGGGTCGTTGCGTGGGTCCATGCTAGTGAGATAGACTCCTACAAGGTAATATTTTAAGACTAGTTAAGCTGTGAAACTCATACTAAAGAAGGAACCACTCTTCTCTAAATATTTTACTAATTTCTGGTTTTGGAACGCTTTAATAAGTGAAATTTGTGTAGATAGAAAAAATAAGACAAGTAAAGTGAAAACTCGGTCACGTGGAACAAACTGACACTTGCTGCTGGCCGGGCATTTGTCGCTTGACAAGAGCAGCGATCAGGGATTCCTCTGGTTGCAAGCAGCACAACTGGCCATGGTAGCCTGTCCATAGACGTGTTTTACTTTTTTTGAACAATCCTGCGATCTCTTAAGAGAAAATAGAGGGTTTATGAACAGGCTACACAACTGGTCGCAAACAGCAAGTATAAGCAGTCAATTTGTGTACCTTATTCGTGCGATTTTTGCCTGAAAAATTTTACCATTTCCTTCTGCAATTGTTAAAATCAATGTGCCTCAGAGCGCATTGTCAAAAAAACACTGCTGAAAATAATACTTTTAATAGACTAGCAGCAAAAATCGCTGGTCTCTGTCACTTCCTGACAATCTCTCGATAAAATTGCCAGAGTGAGTGTAAAATAAATCCACATGCGCTTCCCGACAGACTTTATTAAAAGTCTAACTTCACGAGTAGGCAAGATAAAACGAACCTTTTTTCTTCTGTTCTTATGCCATATTTACTGAAATCGATCGACAAACGTTTTCACAGACTTCCAAAGAACGTGATGGATTGCGGAATCGTGTAAATAAAATACTGGCCTAGAATCTTTAATATCTTTACCTAGTGTAAACTAGTACTCGTTTTAGGCCCGGTTCAGATGCCGAACTTTCATGAGCCAAACCTAATTAGAATTACGGCCAACCCAAATTATTCACTAGACCAACTGAACAAATTCAGACGCCGATCTTAATTCCAGCCGAACTAAATTCAAAACGAGAAAAATGCTTGCATTGCGAGAAAAATGCATTGCTTGCAAAATACGTTATTATAATTTATGCATGGGTTGGGCGCATGAAATGTTTGGTGGACTGAGCCTTTCAATTCCAAAGTCGCTCTAAAGTCGAAATTCCCGACCGAGCTAGGCGGGGCCGTTCCAAATTGTAATAAGGCGTTCCTTATTGATTCAGACGCCGAAATTTTTATTTACTTAAATCAATGTATACATGCACGTAAGCCTCATGCATTGAATAAGTCTCTGTTGAGTTCGGCTCATGAAAAGTTCGGCGCCTGAGCCTCCTTAGTGCAGGATGAGTAAGAATATAAAAGTCAAAAACTAACTGATTTACCAGGGCCATATACTGCATCGTTTGTGGTATCCGTAGATGCCTTAATCTCTTTACTTTTTGAGATACCTTTTACACCCCTCTGGTCAGTGTAATGGTAATACGTCTTCTGGCCGGGAAATAAAATATATAGTCAATTACTATAGGATACTGAAAGTGATTTGTTTCAAATTTTGTCACAATAATAATAATAATAATAATAATAATAATAATAATAATATAATATAATTATTTAACGAGGGTAACACGGGACAGACGAACTATAAGTATATATATGAATAAGACTGAAAAGAGTAAAAAGTATATTACAATTATAAAATATCCTTACAGTGAATATCTACAAACTATAATTACAATAAGAATACAACTAGGATGGGTCAAGCGAGAGGAAGGTTGTAAAATGCCTGATTAGCATAAAACTAAGAAATAAAATTAAGTTTTTTTAAGCTAAATGATCAACGTCATTGTATCTCGTTAAAAAATGACTATAAATAGCCTTTCTAAATGAGGTTACACATGTTCTTTTTTTTAAGGTTAATGGGCAGAGAGTTCCAGAGCCTGGTCGCGGACACGCTAAAAGTTCTCCCTCCCTCAGATTCACGATTATAACTGAGGCAGACGAGGTTTAAGGCCCTGTAGCGCCCACTGCGTGTGTGTAAATCTGCATTGCATTTAAGAAGGTCATACATGTAGCTGGGGCAGTTTCCTTGTAGGCGCTTAAGGACTAGCGAACACTTATTAACTTTAGCTTCGTCATAAAATGAGAGCCACCCTGATTTGTTAAAGAGATTTACGCTATTTGATCTTGTGTTAGCTCCTAAAATTACTCGGGCAGCACGTTTTTGCAGCTTGAGGATTCTCGTTAAGTTATCAGCTGGCCAGTTTGACCAGATAGTTGACCCATACAGCATTACTTGTTTGATCATAGCATTGTAGTAAAGTATGCCCTGTTCAATAGGGATGAATCTCCTCATCTTTCTAAGAACCGCTATTCTCAGGGATAACTTCTTGCACAGTTCCTCAACGTGTACATCAAAGCTTAAGTGTTTGTCAATAGTAACCTCTAAGAGTTTCTGACTATCAACATGTTCTATGTCAGAGTTAACAAGTTTGAGTTCCAGTGAACAATCGTCAAGCACAGCAATCCAAAGGACCCAAAGCAGTTGTAAAGCAATTTTTTTTTTCATTTCTTTCTAGTTTCAGCTTAGCTGAGGGCGAGGCGGGTGAATCGCGACTCAATCAAAGACCTGTTTCGTTTGGAATTAACAAGCGAACGTTTTACATCAGTGGCAAAGCCATAGGACAAATATTTTAGGGGGGAGCGGGGGGGGGGTCTAACCTTTAGCTTAGCTAAAATCGAAACAAGTTGAGTTTGCGGCGCTATTGATTTCTATCGCAGACGCCAGCACTTAGTTGTTTTCACATTGAGGCTCGTAAGTGCATATAGTATCCTATCGTTAATCTTCAGTTGCTGATTCCACGTTGAACACACGTGGCATGGAGAAAGTGCTAAAGTCGATATTACAGGTATTACATCGTACAGGGGCACCCAACGAGGATATAGTTCAAAACCACTTAACATAGGATTGTTGAACGTATAGTAGTCTTTAAACGGTAGATATAGGCATATTTTTATCTCCTAAAAACTTTTCATCTGTTCGGATATCCTAGCTGTAAGTCTAGTGATCCGAAAATTATAGGGATAAAAACTTACCTTCTCGAAAATGTCAGCCAGGAAAAGGCTCCCGAAAATTCTAGGTGGCCTTTTTTTAGGGTCAAAATCCCTCAAAAATGGGTAATTATACCATTTTGTAGATGTTCGAAAATCCTAGGAGAGGCAGGCAAGCAAGAAATTTTACAACAAATGTTCCGAAAATTCTAGATCTCAAATCGTCTTCCGAACAGATATTTTCCGAAAATTGCCGTTGGGTGCCCCTGATCGTATTCAATAGACATCTTCAAATCTGGCTAAAATACAATATTAAAACACATGCACAATGAGTTTTCGTGGACGTCAAACTTTTTTTCTCCCGCTTCTCTCATCGTTTTTACTTAAGAGCGAAGAATTTCAAGACGATATATTCGAATGACGAAGTTGTTTCAAATTTCGATAAGATGATGCTTGGCTTCTTTGCTGCCAAATTTCTTATTTTGAATACCAAAATTCGTACACTTTTTAAAAGTTAAAAACATATTTCATAACTTTCATAACTCTCGCCAAGATAGAGTTCTGGATTGTAATCGATACCATGAGTAATGGACTTCCACAAAATTCATTAATGTTCACTTTGCAAAAAAAAGCTTAGCTTCTATTCAGCGGAAATTTTTTTCCCTTTTCGGTGACACCTGATATCTTTCTTTTCTTTTACTTACTCCACAGCTCCAGCGTTTACAAATCAACCAAATAAACCTTTATTACTGATTCTACAGTCTACAGTATAACTTGTGTTTCGGCTATTGCATTCAGCCAGAGAACGGCCAGTAGTCGTTGTAGTCCTCCACTCTCAACGAAATTGGAAACAGCCTAATCATTCGAAAATATTCTTGTAAGACTTCGCTCTTCACGGTAAAATGATGGGGGAACCTCTGTCTTCTGAAAAGCCATATATAGGAACAGATGATGTTTCGTTCATGTCCATCGTGTGTCGGCATGTAGGTGCATCATGTATCGTCAAGTTGTTGAAATCGAAAGTAGTTCACAAGCTGAAAATCTAGCCATTTCATCAAATAGTTACGCTTACCTTTTGTGAAGACATGGTTGCCGGCTGAAAATGCTTGTCTTAATTTCCTGCAGCTAGCTTTGTCTTCTAGTATCGCTTCGACTGCAACACGAGGCAGAACAATTGAACCAGCAAACGTGCGCCGGCGAAAACGAAATGTATTGGACGAATGAAGGCGGAAGTGCGAGAGTAAATGATTTATCACGTGTCAGACTTTTATCCAATCAACACTTGTCACGTCGCTTTGATCCTTCCAGTAGTTTCCAAATAATTTCTCGGAAAGCGACCTATTTATAACCATTCCTATAAACATTCAAATTTTCATCATAAATTGTTTTTAGAGTTCCTCGTTACAGTCACCTGGACATGCTTTCTTATATCGCTTTCGGATTTTTGATTTTTGTCGTCAAATACTTTGAAGATAGTTTTCCGTTACATGTTCCATGAAAAAGTAATGTACGGTAGAAGCAAATTATTCTGTTTTGTTATGTACGTTGTAATGAACGGGGTGGATAAAAGTTAGGCCACGAAACGGGCAATATCGATTCCAGGTCTTCAATAATTAGCTATTGCGGGTCAAAGATAAACCTTTTCTCGGGATAGTTATAGGATCGAGATGATCTTCTCTCTCATTACTAGTGTACCAAAACCTATCCGTCTTAAAATGTCTATCATTAGTCATTTCTTTTCATATGCTAATAAATATCCCGGGGAAAAGTGATTTTTTGCATAATAACAAGTGTTTGGTTAGTTCTTTTCCATTATGAATAACTGTCTTCCGCTTTCCAATATTTCAAGAAACAATACTAGCTTGCCTAGACTTAATGCTGTGTTAACTGATAGAAAGGCAGGAAGGAGATGAGTAATAATCTAGCAACGCCAAACTTCTTTATAAGTATCTTCTTTATTTAGTCTTGAGACGACCGTTATTGGATCTTATTGGCAGAACCAAATAATTTTCATCAATTTTTCCCTAAAAGTAGCCATAAAGCGAAAAATAATTCCCCAAATAGTAAGGTACCTGATGAATTAAGAAGTTGGTTAACACGTTAATCGAGTGGCATTGATGTTATGATGAAGTCATTTATTATAATTAAACCATCCGCCATCTTGGATCTGCCTTTTAGATTTAATTATAAATGTATTCCATTTTACTTAAACCCATATAAATCCAGGTAATTGTAAAAGGAAGGAAGCAAAAATAACCTGCAAGTTATGAAGTTCTAAGAGAAATGAACACTGTTGAAAATTGAAGTTAGTATCTGCTATTTCAGCTATTTGGTTATAAAAAGCCTGGGTTACTGATTAATAGTTATAATAAATTTGATAAAATAATGCTGAATTAAGAGTGATATTATAACGCGATAAGCAAAAGAAGAAATAAACCTAGTCTTCTAGTGTAATAAGTAAACATTTTGACAAACATGGCTGTCTCAGCTCGGTTCCATGGTAACCTCAATGATGATGTACACGTCAGGACGACTTGAAAATGTCCACAGATAAATTTTAGGAATTAAAGTCGCTTTGTTTGGAGATCATAGCTTAAACCCTTTGAAGTTACTCAGGGAGGGGAAGGGAGAAGCTTTAAAGCTCCTCGCCGTCTGAATAGAGATAGGCAGGATGACAGAGATACACCGTATGGCTTCCACAAAAAACTTCCCAAAATACTTCACCCAAACGATGAAGTAAGGTCATCACTGGAGAGTGGAATTGAGATTCCTGAGGCATGAGTGCCTATGACCAGACAACACACTGAACAGCCGATTGTTACCACCGCGGATCGCTGAGGGAATAGTTTCGTCCCTTAACAATACCAAAAGTGCTTTGGATCAAAACCCATCAATTAACAGCTTAATTAAACATTAGTCGAAGTTTGACTGGAAGCGGAGTGAAGAGATTATTTAAGGGGATATGTCAGGCTATTTGTTATCTTTTTAAAAAGCTCAAACGTGTGTTCGCACTATGGTCAGCCACAATTTGCTCCAAATTTTCTTAAAAGTTGCCCGAAGTTGCTGGACTTTTCTTAATAATATTGAAAGTTTTATATAAAAATGTATATGATATATATTCTCGGTCAATGAAAATAGTTCCTGACCACTGATGGAAGAAAAAAAAAGAAAACGCCTCAATCATATCACTTGCTAAATTACCTTTAGGAGAATTAGCTAAATTATCTCCTGGGCGGCGGGCATCTACTACATCTTCGTCATCCACAACTGAAGGTAAAAATAAAAATGAAATAAGCTATTTTAGAATGGTTGATAACTGACCAAATGACCGAGACATTATTTTCCTGTTCGGCGTTAGTTTTTTTGCTAGTACATTATTAACGACTAAGACGCTCTCTTTATCTTACGTAACACTTAAAATTATTAAAGAGACCTATCAGGGAGAAAAAAATGTAATCAGAGGGAGAAGACGTTGCTACACGCCGTTAGCAGTTTGCATCACCACAAACATTTGTTTCTCAGCAAAAACAAATGAGACTGCCAAATGAAAGTCTAAACAAATGTTTTCTGACAAAGACGATCAGCTTGCTTTTTATACATATCTATACGGTCATGTTTTCGTCCAAAAAAGTCAAATATTAAGTAAGGACTTTAAAAACTGAAGGAATGCAAAAATTTGTCTTGTTTTTATTAAATAGCCACTGCCAATGGAAGTTATTGGAATTTTCTTCTCCTTTTCCCAATTTTTTTTTTTACACAAGAAATGTTTCAGTTTAATGACTTACGCTTCTGAGTTGACTCTTGGATTTCTTTAGTCACCGTTATCCCATCTAGAAATGAAGACCAAATTGTTCGTTACCTCAGTATTCTCAATTTTAAAATATTTGCAACATTATATAAGTAATATTAACAGTGATGATGATATGATAATAATGATAAGGTAAGTTAGGATTTACTGTACCTACAAATGATTTAGTTAGTTCCATACACTTTAGATTTTTCAGAATCCAAAAATTAACTGATTTGCTTCACGAAATTCAGTGTCCCTCCATGTAAACTAAAAAGTAAACAATCGTACCTGAATTGGATTTTTCCGGCAAAGACTGTTCACAAGTTCCGTCCTTTGAAGGAGTTAACGCTAGCGTTGTAAGACAAAGAGAGAAATACATATAGTTCCAGACTTCAGAATTTTTTTTCTCACTCTATTGCGTTTTCGTTTATAAAAAATAACAACACCCATCAGGCATTCGCTGCAGAAAGTCTACGAGCGGTAAAAAGGGGCTTTACTGAACGAATGTTTAGAACTTAAAAATTTAATTCAATGTCAAAATTTCGTATGATTCTAAAGCTTGTTGATAATTCATCAAGAAAAATATAATGTCTTTATATTTGATAGGCTTAACTTTACGTCCATTTTTTTAGACCAAAATAACCCCAAATCTAAATATTACAGTGCAAGAACTAGAACACCGAAAGATTTTGAATCCGTTGAAATAAAATTAATTGCCTTCGATTTGTGACTTTCAACTTGATAAAACACTACTGCTCGTCTATTTAAGCATTACATGAACAATTCTGCAGATCTCGAACTTTTATCCGGGAAAACCCTCATCCTCGATTTGCACAATTCTATAGCTTACACCCACTGTTATGGGCCTCAAAATTCACATGCCCAGACATTTTCGAAGAAAGGACACTTTTGTAGAAACGAAATATGTTCAAACAAACCGTAACCTCTTCATAACATAAAAACGCTGGTAAAGATGTACCTTTCTCCAGGCAATCCCTTTCCTCGTCATTGAAGGCATTTAGTGAGAGAAGAGTTGTTCTAACACTCTTGCTCGCAGGGTTTGGTTTTCTGGCTTGGCTACCTCCGAGATTGCTTCTTTTAAGATGGCTGTGAAGGTTATCAGGATTATAATCCTTTCCCTGATAAAATCCAGGCATTATCACCAGGCAATCTGTACCTTTTGATCTACCCATTTTTACTGTTTTTAGTACCTGTTATCGTGTAAAAGACAAAAAATAGAAAGAATCAAATTACTGAGAAACGAAAGGGGATATACGCAGATAAAAGAGATGTTAAAGAGATCATTATAAATCTTATTGGGCTTGTATTGTATAAGAGATGTGCTCTACTTTTTTCAAATTGGACAGATTTTTTAGGGTTAAGATCCTCAGGTGTTGGCGGGTTGTATCGCAAGTAAGTTGTAGTTTTGATTTACTTGAAAATCATATCTTCTCATATTTCAATAAGCTAGACCGCAGTCTAGGGACAGATTCGTAAAAAGGATTGCAAGCAGTCAGTACCTCTGATATCGGTGTGTGTATGATGAATTCCTTCAGATCTTTCTTGAAGGCCTGCAGTACATTAAGGGCTTTTGGGACATCCTTATCGTCCCCACCTACTTCGTTCAAAATTTCACCGGGCTGGTTCGCTATTGCAAACGGAGCCACAGTCTCTTCAAAGAACTTGTCGAGAATTTTTTTGTGGTTGTCACCAAACAGTTCACTACTAATCTGAAACAAAATGATACATAAACAACAATAACAATAATATAGTCATGATAATAATAATGGTCGACAAAACGGATAACAGGGTAGAAATTATAGATATATTTGTGCCGTGGGACGCCAATATTGAGAGCATTAGTACTAGCAGAAGCTTTTGAACATTATAAAGACTCCTCAAGGTCAGTTCAGTGTAACCGTTACAATGGAATACAATAGGAGTTGGCTAGGTAGTAGGCTAGGTTTTCTGACTCTACTTGCGTGCGAGTAATGTACCGATGATAATGTAACGAGAAAGAGAAAAAAATATAATTATTAAGAAAACTAAAACCAAATTTCAAAAAAAAACGTGTTCAATATGTCCGTTATTTTCCAAAAAGGGATATCAACTCATATCACAAAATTCAAAAAATTCAATAGCTTACTCTCTGGCTAAACCACATCGAGGTCGCGTAAGGGAGAATTGAATCAGGTAAACACCCGTTAAGACGGGGTGTTACCCAAGGTATGAGATCTGAGGCAATCTCATCCATGCCTTCCCTTAAAAAGGTACTTCCCATCCGCACGAATGAAGCAATGGCACTAGAAAAGTACCCTTGATTAATCATTTTTTTAATGTGTACATGGGCAGACACTTCGTTTGCGGTGGCCCCTCTTACAGAAGGACCCAAGAACGGTATGTACACGAGCCTTCGAAGTTCCCTGAAAAATACAACAAAAGTCTAGCTGTCAGTTTGTTCACCTTTGACAATCGCACTACTTTCATTACGTAATATAGTCAGTGGCAGTTTTATGTGTTCATAGAAGGTTAGAAAGAAGATTTCGTGCCGATAATTTTAATCTTAGGGGGGCAGTAATTTCCGGCCTCTGTAACTCTGGACACGTTAGTTAAGGAATAAATCTGGGGTAGTAAAAGACCAAAGTGGGAACGGTTGTATTACACGATCTGGATTACTTGTGAATGGTTAGACGGGTTTTTTTGGGTTCTATGGAAAATGCTCACCTTGCTGACCCAGAGACGGTTTCGTTCGATGTGATCATCAGACCACATCTGATTTTCTCATGCCCTCTTGATATTGTTTCACGGCTGGCTCCGTTAAAGAAGTCTATGAATAACTCCTTTAATGAGGAAATGTTAGGTGGGTCATCCAGAAAGACCCCTAGCGTGCATTGACTAGCACGTTGTAAAATTTTTTCTTTCGTTGCAGTTTTGATAAAACCAATATCCTGAATTCCTGCAAAGAAAATTTAACCTGGTCGTAAGCTTTGCATACAAACTGGAATTGGTACTTAAGATAGTTTTAACAGTTATTCCTTATTTTCTTTTTTGTCTAATCGTTTTCGCGTTTGACAGAATGCATCCTAATCTTGGTGTTCCTGTGGTACAAGGCCACAAAATTTCGAGGTATCACGGGCGACTGCCGATTAGCTAGCTGCCCCGCCATTGATCTTATTAGGGGCAACTTGGCCGGGAACTGGATTCCTTTCAACTCGATTTCGTTTCCGAAAGGAACATTCCGTAATGACTCTCATTCTAAGAAGCTTCAATTGGGTATCATAAGAAATTTTAGACCCAGCTAAGGGGATTATAAGATCACTTTTGGGCTGATGATAGACTTGTTCAAGTAACTGACCTGCGCACGCCATTGCTAGCTGTAGCGCAGTTGTCTTTCCTCTCCCTGCTGGACCAACCAGAACCACGGTAGGAGATCCATCCAGCTTTCTGACCGCGTCGGCATGGATGGTCATGGCAAAACATCCCATTGTAAACATTGTTGCGGCGAAATTGTGTTTCAGAGCCAGTTCCATAGTCTAGAAAAATCCACATGTCAACGTTATTCCCTTTGTGTTATAATGAAATCAGAAGTCAGGAGAAGTCTAGAGATAACTCCACTTTTTTAAGAGGTAATTCCTGGTTTGTAGCGACTAATATTTGTAGGCCTCTACGTACAAAATTGTTAGAACCGAAATGTTTGTGGATTTTGTAAGTTAGCCTAAACAGGTTGAATTGGTTCTTATTTTACAAAAATTTTTACTTTAGGGCATCACTTAATTTCGCGAATATTGAATGTCAAGAAACATCATGAGCCATATTTCGCGACTTTTAGGGAAAGGTATAATTAGAGTTTTTCTATTCATTAATATGTGAACTAAGGATACTTTGACCTTAGCCTGCGAGCAACCTCTCAATTTGAGGGATATCGAGAAAAGTACACGCGCGTATAAATAGGAGAGCTTGCTCGCAGGCTACTTTGACCTCAGAACAGTAATAACAGAATTAATAATTTTATCCTAACAAAATGAATGTTAACACACGAGACTTTCAACAGTAGGTTTCCGACAATAGCTACAAAGGAAATACTTAATCTCTAATAAACTTCGTTCTTATTATGTTTTGTCAGACATAATATGGAGGTCCTTATTCTGTCCATGGTTATGAAATGTATTAAATTTTGCGATATTAATTTTTGAGTATTAAAATTTCGCAATTTTTCCGACATCGAGAACTTTAATACTCACGAAATTTGAGGGAATAAAATATTGTACAACGTGCAAGTTTAACTAAAAATTGAAAAAGCAGATCCATCGAAAAGATGTGCGAAATGGATAGTGCAGATAATAAAAACGAACAAAAAATGGGCACAATAAAGCAGGGACCGCGCGGTAGCCTAGTGTTAAGTTAAAATTTAAAGTCTTTTATGGTATAGACGATTATTTCATTCTTTCACCTTTTTTATTAATTTTTAATTAAAATGATTGGCTGAAAACTTACTGATATAGCACTCTTAAAGGGCTCGATGGACAGCGGTGTCTGAATACTTGCTCTCAAGTGCCGATCATCAGGCAAAAAGGTGAATTCTCTCTCATTTGCGGGAATTAGTACCCCTTCTCCGGTGATTTGAACCTAAGACAAACAAACGACAGCGTTAAGAAATTAGTTCCTTTGCAGTGTCCGTTTTCAGATATAGTACATACAGCGTATTATTATTTATGATGCCATATTATGAATATTAAATGATCGCCAATAGAGGATCGCGTGAATCATGCAGATTATTAATTTAAGTTTAATTAATTAAAACAATAATAATAATAACAATAATAAAAAATAAAGCAAGTAGAAAGGAGAAAATATCAAATAACAGTTTTACAGGCCGAACGAAATAAAAAAAAAAACAGAGAGTTTGAGATTAAAACGGGTTGATACTTTGTTGTTATGTAATCGAGAGTTAATGGTAGCAAGTAAACTAAATTACAGTCGACTCCAGTTAACTCGAACCCTCTATAACTCGAACCTCCCGTTAACTCAAAGCAATTTTCATTCCCCTTCAGATCATTTTCTACAGAATTTTACCCTCGATAACTCCAACTTTTTTCTATTTCCCTTGAAGGTTCGAATTATCGGGAGTCGACTGTAAAATATAAATGAAAATCATTAATAACAACAACAGCAAAAAACTAATACTAAAAACAAACCGAGGTAAGAAAGTAATAGCTGTAAATATTGCAAGTCCCTTTGTAACCCTGTTTTCACTTTCTTCACTATTTTTTCCTGTTTTGCCGTGACTTGAAAACTCGCAAATGAAGAACACGTCCCTAAGACGTATATGTGTATGAATCTCCTTTTACATATGCTAAAAAAACAAATATTTGTTTGAATGGTAACACACGCTAAGGATTGTCCGTACCCCCGTAAATGTTTAGCTATGCTCGAGTTTTCCTTGATATAAAGGAGGCATGTGTTATTTTGTCCATTTTCTGTGCCAGTGCCAAATTTTCAAAGCTGAAACTGCCTGAATAACTTAATTTGTAAATAATTGTCAACAATGCTCTACACCCCCCTCCCCCCCCAAAAAAAATACAGACTATCTTGTTCGAGGGCGAGAAAATTAATTTCTTCGCATAAGACATATACTATACGAAAATGTAAAAATTTTACGAGGGTACCTCTCTAATTATTGATTATACCTCGTCAGACAAAACAAATACATCTCCTTGTTCGTGGTACTCCGTGGGGATTTTTCCCAAGACATCAGTGACAAATAGTAGGGAATATTTTTTTCCATTGAGAAACTTGTTGATTTTTCGTACTAGTTCGTTTTTGAACATGTGTTCAGATAGCGAACACACCAGACCACCCGCTGCATTACCCCGGAGGGCTTTGTTCAGGTGATTCACGAAAACATCCAGTTTCGGATTTGACGGAACAAACGCGTTGCTGAAAACAAGCAAGACAACAGGTTGATGTCAACAAATCAGTCAAAGCAGTATCAGTTAATTGAGATGGCGTTAATGCGAATGAGAGTACAAAAATTGGGGCGTTTTGAAAAAAACACTAGCTTAAAAACCTTAATAGAAGTTTTTTGGGCCACTTTTTAGGGACCGTTCATTTTTTAACAAATGCCCATAATTTTACAAACCATCCATACCATCCATTACAGTAAATAATTTGCCGTATAAAAAGAACTAACTGAAAGTTTCTCTGTAGGTTCTCACTGTAGTAAACAGACCCCCTTTGGAACGACAGCTAAACAGACCATGTTAGTTCATTGTTTAAGGCCATTCAAAACTTCCATTTGATTAAAGCGCAGCAGTTGACTTTAATTGTTTTTCGTTTTTTTTTCTAGGGGGGGGGAGGTCATCTCAATTATCAGTCGGGAATCAAGGGGGGGGCACCAAAACCAATGTTGATGAAGAAGGGGGTTACCATATTCTACAGGAACTGCCCTTCAAATCTCACCATCCCCACCCCCACCCCCCCCCCCCCTACCCCATAAAAAAATTAACGGACCCTTTCTAGACTTTCTTTCTGGACTCATTCCGAAGTACTCTAGCCGAGTTATGTGTTGCGAGCCACCTGCTGCATGTAACCTCTGTTGAAAGTACCACAAAGCATTTTTCCACGAACAGAAAAACAGTTTTGTCACTCTTTTTTCCCTAAGAAATGTAAGCATGCTTTTTTCAAAAATTCTATAAAAAGGCCGGAAGCTCGACGTGTGGTTCGTGTAACACTCGGTTCATTCTCATTTCTGAAGCATTAATCATAACGAAAAATCCATGATTAAATTTTTTTTTCGTAGTTACGTAAATATCATAACCGAACTGAATATTTGGGGTCGAAACGTACGTTACGGAGAAAAAAATGCTTATTTCTGTATGGAGTAACGTGACAAGGGCGAAATACCATATTCATTTTTAGGGGCTGCGCACCCACATTGCTATTTTTAGACTGATGTACACGTGGACCAGTGCAATTTTTGTAAGCCTTTGGGCCAAAAATGGTACCGGAGTACTAAACACATTGCTATCCATAGATTTAACAAACTAAAAATTTGACCATACAAGTACATACATGTTCACGTTATGGGGAAACGTGGTGACCCTCATGATATATCCGTCCTTCGCCCCCATGACTTGATGTACTGGTTTGAAGGTGAAATTGGACGCCGCCTTAAATTTCTTAGTGACACGTCCTTCACTATCCTTCTCGGACGTCTGAATACACATTTTGCTCTCGCGGTCAACAACTTTAGACTTTCCCATTCTAGAATTAAGACAATTGATAGGCCATTAACTACCGTTTAATCCTGACTCGGAAAATGAGTATGATTAATGTAAAGCATCCGTTTAGTCAAAATATCGAGTGTACATGCAATTAATATCAATTTTATACATAGAGTCTAATAGTCACATAGAGTCAAATCTAGAGGTTAATTCGAATTAGCCGTTTCTGATTCATTTGGATCAAAGTTGGAGGACGGTCTTTTTTAGAAAATGGCGGAAACCGATTTACACGCTATGAATGGGGGAGTGTTTAGTGACATCCCAAAGACGCATGCGATGGAGATTAGGGACAAAACGGCTATATGGAGAGTACCTGCTATTAAGAATGGTCATTCATTCATATCTAAAGTTGCCTGCAAATGTTATATGACGGGAAATGCACTTAGAGATATTGGGTAAGCTGAGTAGGATACGAAAAAATCAGCAAGGTCTTACGGGAAGGGATTTCCTAACTTTCTACAATACTTTGAGGAACTTGTTTAAGATGACTATTTTACTTACGTTAATCCGCGAATGCTTTGGTCAACGGTTTCCTATGAAGAAAAGTCTTGGGGGTCCTCTTGAGACTCCACTCACTGAACAAGTGTCGGAACAAAAGTTGGATGCGAATTTTGTAATAGTAACGCGAGTAACTTTTTCAGGAAATAAATTCCTTATTTGGCCGTGCATAACTCTAGTTGCACCCCCATTTCACAATGTATTACGCATTTCAAATAAACGAAGATTAGCCAAGTGTACTTGCGTCTCTTGTGTCGCAACTTTTATAGGGCCTCTAGGCAAGATTTTTTTCCTTGTTTTAATCCATGTGACACCAATAAAGAGTTCTTATTTCTTTGTCCTATCAGTATTTTTAAGTTGGGTTTCTTTGGTGTATTGAAAGTCCCACGTTTTTTCCGTCAATATCGCAACTGTTTTTTAATCGGGTTGTGCTTTTTTTTTTGGTCTGGGTTAGCGACGATCCTCTAGAGATTCCTATCACATTTACGTAGGAAGGTAGAGAACGTTTACACAACCTGGAGCCCAAGCACCCAGCTGGGCCCAAGCATATCATATGGCAAAACTATTCCCGGAACTATTCCAGTTGTATTTGGCCTAATCGTTTGTTTCACCTTGTTATGCAAGACCTTTCTGCAAACACTTCTTTTTACTCATCATTTTATTTTATTTTATTTTTTTACCGCTCAAAAACATTACATTAAAGTTTTTGCTATCTAAAATTAGTGCAAAATTGAGCAATCATCATGTGAAAAAAGATATCAATCCGCGGGCGAGTACTCCCTTACATTTGCTTTGTGTAGAACAGGAGCCGAAAATGTCTTAAGTTTTTGTCTGAAAAAGGGTCAGGTCACAAACCCCCACCAATGACTACCAATAACTAGTGGTAGCTAAATACGCATTCAACGCTCGTACTACACTGAGCTGAAACAAGCTTGTTTTTCATTTTGTCACCTTTGTACACTCTTATTCATATCTCAACTGTCAACAAGTAATTAGTAGAAGTAATCTCTATTAATGTGCAGTCGTTGGTGGGCAGGCCGGTGACTGGTTTGACTGGTTGGTCAATTAGCCCGCAAGTTTTACTTTACATCCTGTTTATAATACTGGAATAAAACAAAAAACAAAAAAATCGCGCAAGGGAAAATTAAATAAGAAAAAATTCATGCACGCCAATTAATCCTAAAAAATGTTAATGCTATAGCCTCAAAAAAAATTCATACAAGGAATTTGATAACGAAAAAATCTTCCTGCTGCTCGAAAGTTCCCACCCGCCCCCCCGATAACTTTTCTAATAGTCCTTCCAATATTTGTCTAAATCTGGGCGTGCTAATGATTTCGCAACCTGAAACAATGGTGGATGTTAATGTTTTAACTTGCAGTAACAATCTGTGTAAACAAACCATCTACTCATGTCCTTAACATATTAAATGAGATGCAAGCTATTACAGTATAATTATCATGAAGATGTTGTCTCTTTTGCTCTCGGGCTTGACTTTGGCCTCGGTTGTTTTCGTAAGTGATGCTGGAACCGTTCCAATGGAAATGCAATCTTTTATCGGTAAGTTGCTTGGACAATACTTGTCTGAGATAGAATCTGGACAGATTCTTCAACCAAGAGTGGTTTATCCTGCTGTGCAAGATGTTAAAGCCACAGAGAGGCCATATACACCATCGCCCATGTTACCAGTAATAATATGGGACCCTTTGATACAATTTCCTGATTTATTCAAGGGGTTCTGTTGTCCATATTGCGTTCTTGACCAAAAACCTGGAAAGTTGAAAACCTCAACGATGTGGAACGATGGAACTCGCAGACAGTTAAGTCCAAGGAAGGTATATGATCTCCATCATTCCGTACTGCTCGTGGCCAGAAGATATCGCTGTACCGAAGACAGTGACCACTGTTTTGTGTCAACTCACATCTCTATCATGGAATTCCTAGAAGAGCATAAATCAGTGTCATTTAAATTGACCGTGAAAAGTGGATATTTCTACACCTTATCAGAAGCAATTTGTGCAATGGTTGATCGTGGGATGTCATTTAAAAAAATCGAGAACATAATCAAATCTATCTATCAAAGAACTGGTGTTGTAATGATTAACCACAGCAAAAAGGAAGCAGTATTCCCATCGGCAAAATTTATAGAAATGATATTTGTAGACGAATTCTACAACAGGGAACAATATTATATCAGCTCCATCAAGAAGACAACAGCCGACTGGATATCAGCGGATCACACATTCAAATCCGTCATGAACATAGGTTATCCACGGAAAGAAGATGGAAAGTGGATTAACGTTTTCAATGCACTATTTTGTGTTCTAAATGAGAAAGGCCAAGTAATTAAATGGCGGTTCACTAAATCAACGAAGGCGGAAGAAACTGAAATTCTTTTCCGAGAACTATCATGTCGCCTGANGTTGAAAACCTCAACGATGTGGAACGATGGAACTCGCAGACAGTTAAGTCCAAGGAAGGTATATGATCTCCATCATTCCGTACTGCTCGTGGCCAGAAGATATCGCTGTACCGAAGACAGTGACCACTGTTTTGTGTCAACTCACATCTCTATCATGGAATTCCTAGAAGAGCATAAATCAGTGTCATTTAAATTGACCGTGAAAAGTGGATATTTCTACACCTTATCAGAAGCAATTTGTGCAATGGTTGATCGTGGGATGTCATTTAAAAAAATCGAGAACATAATCAAATCTATCTATCAAAGAACTGGTGTTGTAATGATTAACCACAGCAAAAAGGAAGCAGTATTCCCATCGGCAAAATTTATAGAAATGATATTTGTAGACGAATTCTACAACAGGGAACAATATTATATCAGCTCCATCAAGAAGACAACAGCCGACTGGATATCAGCGGATCACACATTCAAATCCGTCATGAACATAGGTTATCCACGGAAAGAAGATGGAAAGTGGATTAACGTTTTCAATGCACTATTTTGTGTTCTAAATGAGAAAGGCCAAGTAATTAAATGGCGGTTCACTAAATCAACGAAGGCGGAAGAAACTGAAATTCTTTTCCGAGAACTATCATGTCGCCTGAGAGCACAAAGAAAACAAATGCAAGCGATTTACGTTGACAACTGCTGTCAAATACGAAAGAAACTAAGAGCATTTTTCAACGACCTACA